GTAATTTGGCCGATAGCTATAAAAAGAGTGTTTATAAAAGTTTAAGAGATTTTAGTTACGAGCTTAATGGTTTAGAAGGATTCTTAAGAAGAGAAGGAAAAGATGCAAACAATCTAGAGTGGATGCTACAGGTTATAGTCAATAGCTTAAAGAAAATAAAGATAATTACCTATTCTCACCTAAAAAAGGCATATTTAATGCCATTAAGCACCAAATAAATAAGAACACTTTTTCACCAAAATATTTCATTTCAAAATCAGAAATTGCAGTACTTATCAGCCAATAATTATAATAATTACAAGACTCTTAACAATTTGAAGAAAAGATAAAGTTCAGAAAAGGAAAGAAAAGAAGAGTGAGTAGCCACTAACAAGAGGAAGGGATATATTTATTTATTTATTTATTTATTTATTTAAAGCCAACTGCTGATTTTATTGAAATATAAAAGAATACATAAAGGTTGTATAAGAAGAGCCTAAAGAAGCACCCTACTCATACAATACAAGTACATAAAAACTCCAACAAAAGGTACCAAAAGGTACTGATAGACTCACTCAAATAAAATTAAAAAACAAATTTAAAACATGCAGAAAACAGTAGCTAGGGATGAGTCGGTTTAGTCTTGTCTATTCCTCTAGTTTTAGGAACGGAATCAGATAACAAGCTTTAAAGATTTGTGCCATTGTTAGGAGTCACCAAAGTATCATCCATCTTTCCAAGATAGAGTGAGCTCTCAGGCTTCTTCCGCCAAGAAGTGTAAACCTGCCATTCTTCATGTGAAGATTGGCGCATATGATCCTCGATTTGATTTGATGTTAGAACTGCAGTAGGAGAAAAAACAGTCGTTGCCACCGCGATAGGTTCCAGTGTATGTGAAGTGTGAATTGTTACCTCTGCACCTGATGCTTCCTGAATAGGAGCTGCGGGACTATCCAGATTTTCAGTTTGAATATTATCCATTGTAGTATGGTTAGGAGAAAGGATCCCAGGGTCAAACACCAACTTCTGTCATGTAGTGTTTCCCTCCTCAGGTTGGTTGTCATCAGGTTTGCTAAGAGTGCGTTCAGGCACATGGGGTGCGCTAACAGTGTGTTCCTGCTTTTGACTAGTGGTTCTCAACTGTGGGTGCAATTTGAAACATTTCTCCTGTGGGTGTCCAAACATGTTGCAGTGCTTGCAGTAGTATGGTTTTTGTTTCATAATGATTTTTGCCAATAACCATTGTTTTGTGAGCAGAGCCAAACCAGACTTCTTACATCTGGTAGTGTAATATCTCTGTCAATCAAAATCCTTGCAATAGAGGGTCTTGAGAAATGAACTGTAGGTAAATCTACCTGCAAAAATTTTTCAAGGATAGTCCTAATTGCATATAAGATAGGTAGATCAAAGAAATGAAGCTTGAGTTCAAGTAATGAGAACCAGATAGGTGCAATTGACTGAGATCAAAATTGGGAGTCCATTTGAGCAATTTCATATGTTTGCCCTCAATTGTGATGAATTTCTTTGAGAAAATCCTCGTGTAATCATCTTCTGTGCTCAGCTATATCATAACATGTCTTCCGTCGAAATGACCCACCTGTCAATCCCCAATCAGTTTGAAGTCTTCAAAAATCTTCCTGATGATCTCGAACTTAGGGCAACCTAATTGGAACTTTTCAACCAGTGTAAATTTGTATTTTGCAGCACGAGTTGAAATTTCAGCATCATAAAAGAAAATTGTTGATTTACCCGCCTTTTTCTCTATTTTTTTATGAGATTGCAATCACCATTTCCTACAACATAATCATGGTAAACCTGCGGAAATACCACACTATCTGCGAGGTAAAAAGGGGAGCTGCGTTTGTGAACCAATGTAGCATAGGAGGGTTTGGCAGGGTTATCACCGGTGAGGGTGGCGGTGTAGGAAAGCCCTGAGGCCATTACCGCAGTCAGTGCCAACCTGCAGCACAGTGAGAAGCTTCACAAGTGTCAAGCGGCTCTGTCACACCTATGGCAGAGTCGAGCAGGAGAAGCTCTGTCTGTCGCAAACGAAGAAGTTCTATCTTTCGCAGACGAGACGCAGCAAAAGAGCGGCTCTGTTTGTCGCAAGCTGTCAAGCGGCTCTGTCGCAGGAGACGTGGCTCGACGACTCTGTAGTAGACGAGACGCAGCGGCAGCGACTCTGTCGCAGACGAAGAAGCTGTCGAGCGGCTGTCGAAGACGAGACGGGGGAGTCGACCGCAATTACTGCCGTCAGACGTTATGCGAACACAAACGCGAATGGAAGCAGAAGCAGAAGCCCAAAGACGCTAGGGTTCGCCATGCGGCGGAACTCGAGCAGAGCGGAAAGACGCCACCCTAAGCCCCATATATTTATATATATAAATGTCTTCGTCGATCACGCTCTGCTAGGGTTTCGCCTTTATGGCGAACCCTGATTTCTGCTCCACTGCATCTTTTCGTCGATCACGCTCTTCTCATCTTTCATCGTTTTCGTCTCTTCTGTCTGATTCACCATTGTCACCGTGTGTGGTCTTCAGCTGCTCGTGCTTCGTCATCCCGAAAAGGGCTCGCGTTCGTCAGGCCTGGCTTCTAAGGCATCATGCGTCTTCGGCTTCGGCAGCTTCTCGTTTGTGTTTGTCTGTGCATCTGTCTACATCCATCGGAGTGGTTATCTTCCCCTGTTTCGATGGGTGCGTCGGTTGAACCCGGCAAAGCCTCTTTCGCTCGTGTGCTTGGTAACCATCTGGAGGAGTCGGCTGGTGTCTTCCCGTCAAGTTATAAAGAATGTTGTGATGGTACACCTGACTGTCTTTTAGTTAAGAAGGCGAGCAGGAAGAGTGAGAAAGTAGTGATTTTTTTTCTCTGATTTAGAAATTTCAACATTGACTGAGAAATACAAGTTCGCTCTTTATCAGAAAGAGTTTTGATGATCTCAAACTAGTAGTCAAGTGGAAAGTGAGACTTCTTGATGGGAGATGTGTTGATTCAGTTAACCATGACTGAAGACTACACTTTGATTTTCTCTAAAAAATATCTTAACATTGCAGGAAAACCAATGATGATACTCAAGTGATCTCCTGAATTTGAACCAAACCATGAACCTCCCACCATACCAGTATGGTTTAGTTTAGTCGGTCTCAAACTACATCTATTTAATCATCAGGTTCTCTACTCTATTAGAGTCATACTTGGGGATTCTATGAAGTTAGATCTACCCACATTCAATCTAACCAGACCTTTTGTTGCCAGAATACTTGTGGAAAGAGATATCACTTTACATGACATTACAGAAGTCTGGCTGGGCACAACACCTAATGGATATTGGCAACAAATTTTCATGAAACATAGACCCTTTTATTGTACTCACTGTAAGATGTTTGAGCATACCTTTGACAAATGTCACAGGCTTCACCCTAACTTGAAATCTAAAGCTCAAATATATAAGGATGTGTCTAACCCCACTGCTCTAGACACATCTGCTCCACCTATAGAGTAAATTACCAAGAGACAGAAGTTGGTGTCTGATTCAATTGCCCCTGGAGACCCCCCACCTGACAATATTATTTTTGTTTATGTGATTGAGGTGTTGTCGGGTAGCTCTACTGGGCAACCTACAACTTCAAACCTTATTGGAAACAATACTGAAGGATCCTGACATACAAAGGACAATGTTCGGACCGATAATCAAGAGAGCCTTGCAACTCCTCATCTTTAGAAAGTTTCCAGTGCATAGGAGATAATTCATACTTCACATACAATAGAACCAATTGTTGTTACAACGGATGGCAATCTTTCTACTGAGGCAGGACACAAGCTCACACAATGGGATGGCTCCTATATGTGGAAATGAATATCATCCGTCCAGGCTCTGCTTGAGGAATGGATGTTTGAAGGCAAGGGTGTTATCATTGAAGGAGATAATTCTAATGATCTCAATCTTTTCAAAGATGTGATGAGCAAGAAGATGTGGCAACTCCAACTTTCAAATAATCAAAACATTGGTTTCTTGCTTCGATTTAAGCAAATTTTGTTCCTTCATTTAGACAGGAATGGCAATATAGCAGCACATACGTGTGCAAAAAAGGCTTTAACTAGTGATTTTCTTTTACATCATGTAAATTCTTTTGATCATCCTCTTTTTGGTCTTACAGGAGAATAGCACGTATTGTAAATTTCCAAGAGGCGGGGCATAGTTTTCTGGGTTTTTTTGGGCCTTTAGTGTCATCATTTTGTAACATTTTTATTATTTAATGCAAAATGTAAACCCTTCACGATAAATCGTTAAGAAACACTTATGAATATTCTCTTACCACTGGATTACAGTTTCGGGTTTAGGGTTTAGGGTTTAGAATTTAATTCCTTAGAAAAATGTTACCTGAGCAAAAAAAAAATCTTGATTTCCACGATTCAGCAAATTGAAAGCTTTAAAACAGGAAATTATCATGGATGTCAACCCTCTATCACCACAAATTTGACTTATGTCTCCTCAGGTACATTTACTTTGACAATTTTTTTATTGCGGTCCATAGTGAGTTTTTAGACAACCAATCCATACCTAAAATTACCTCAAATTCCACTAAAGATATTAAAATCAATTGTGTATCAAAATATTTTCCATCAATCATTAACTGCACCTCACATAATTGATTAACTTTCATAGAAAAATCGTTTGGCATTCTAACAAATAATATCATAGGCATTAAGGTGTTATTCAATTTTAGTTTAGAACTTTTACACAAAATATCAAGTGTCGGGATACTTTACTAGCACCATCAATTGCATCCTATCTTTTTATTTGTTGTTTGCATGAAGTTCCACAAAATATCAGAAAATATAGACCGTTTTGCAACAGAATATTTTGATGAAGAAACATCACAAGCAACATCACCATACAACAAATCATATTAGAAATATAAATATTATTGTTGAAATTCAAATAGGATACAATGACGACTCTTCAAAGTAAGAAAAAAACGATAACACACATAAATGGCATCCTTGGGCGACGGTGTTGGATGGTGGTTGAACAGCAGGTGGGCTAACTAGTGGGAGACAGCGGCCCCAGCAAGATGATTGAAAGGTGTTGCGGCAGCAGCTGGGAGGGTGGAAGAGGGTTTGCGACGACAACAGACAAGGTGGAGGGGCCTGGCGGCAGCGGACAGAAAGGTAGTGGGTGGAAATGGGGTTGGGCTGGTGTATAGGGACTCTCGTGAGATAACAGAAGTCGGCAGAGTGTTGATGCGGCTGGAGTGTTGAGCGGCAGGTGAAAGAAGAGGGTGCCAGGCAGCAGCAGTAAAAGGTGGTTTAAGTTGGGAAGGCAGGTGCTGGTGGGAGGGAGATTAACCTGGAAGGTTGGGGATGCAGCTGGGAAAACAGGAGGAAGGTTCCGTGTAGGTAGTGGGTTTGGGGCTGTACTAGACAGCAGAACTGCTGTCTTTGAGGTGAACTGCAGCCGATACGACGACAACAACAGCGAGAGGGACTTTGCAGGGGAGGACAGAATTCGGAGGTAATCACCACCTCGGAGCAGGATATTGTCGGAGCGCCAATCGTCTTTGGATACAGCCCTATAACAGAAAAAGGGACGTTTGCAGCCAGCCAAACAGAAATCTCAATAAAAACTAACCCTAGAATAGAAAATAACGAATATATATAATAGATAACTGGGAGAGAGAGGCCCCTCCCCTTAGGCGGCAACCTAAAATAGGAGCTGGCGGCCCTAGTAAACCCTTGGTTGAACCAATCCAAGTGGCCCAGCCGGTTCAGCTCTCAGGTAGCACCGCGTAAAGAAGCATATGGTGTTCCAATTAAACATAAATAGAGAAACAAATATATATTATCTCCAGAAAAAATAACTTCAGGGATGCACATTATTTAAAGGACAAAACAAATGCGTAACAATTTACATAGAAACACTAAATTTTAAAATAAAAGTTGTAACCTACATGTTTAGTTCCCTTCACAATCACCTCCAGAGAGTCCAGCAATTTATAACGACCGCTAGGAGTCGTCATGGCATCTTTGAACTACCAATAGAGTTAAAAAAGAAAATCAAGAGATTAACTCATATAAATGGTATAAAATCCGCAACAAAAGTAAACTGTTGATAGTGTCAAGATGCAAAGTATCAACTTAGATCCAAAACAATCCAAATATTATTTTTTTCCATTAATTACTCCCCCCAATATTGCACTCCATAAGTCCGTAAAGACAATAATTAAAAATAAAAAACGGCAGGCTCCTTATTTAAGAGCAAAAATGGTAAAATCCAGGGATAAATAATGCTACCAATCAGGTCGACAAGATGAACATGGACGGTAAATTAAAAAAAAAAACAGCCAATAGTCCAAGAATGTCAAAATTTTGAGCAAGTCCAAAAACAGGCACTCCACTTCAAATATAAGGTTCCAAAGATCTCCCAAGTTGGCAAAGTGGGCAAAGAAAAAATTGTATCAACATATAATTCATGTTTATAGTACAAATTATAAACAAGTCCCTAAGTTTAAGGGACATTTCACATTGGTTCACACTTTTAAAAATCCTACAATTGGGACTCTGAACATTTCATGCCTATTTCTACTTCATAAGCTTCCCTAGAACCAACAAACTAGTAACCAAAATTTCATAACAATTCTGAACACCTCAAAATAGCTTTTAGGCAAACTAGAGAATGCTAGGATCTATTCTCGTTATCTACTCTTTGAATTACATTTAAACATCACAAATGTCTACTATTGACCCTGGTACGTAAATTTATTTCCTAAGCATACTCTCCACATTCATTTCTAGTTATTTACCTTATTTAAGACCTATTTTGCAAACTAATCTTCCAAATGAGCCTGTAGTAGCCACACTTGGGCTATTCTTAGCATTCTTTTCACTGCACCATTTTAAAGCCCTCAATCTTTCACAATTAACTTCAGAGCACATTATTACATATTAAATTATAAACCAACATTAATTATAATTATAAATCTAACCAAAATGATTCCTACCAATATCACATTTGATATCATAGAAATTTGGAAGGATCAAACCTATTCAGAATTATTGGACAATAAGGCAGAGTTTTCTTCTTGTTGATTTGCTCCAAATGCCTGTATGCACCTCAAATAAATTTGAGATTTCTTATGATACATGAAATTCATATTTATTGTTTGGATAGAAAATTTATTTCTTATAATTTTATATTGCTAGCATGTGATTTAATTAATGAGCTACATCGGAAAGCCTAGCCAATATCACTTTCTTGAACTTATTTTTAAATTTTGTCTCGAGTTAAAACCTTAGCGAGAGAGTGCTGCACTTAGAAAATAAAACTTTATCTTGATGCAAACAAAATTTTACTAATCTTTCTTTTTTCAATGTTAACATTTGTTGATACAGCAACAAGCCTTTATCCCGCTAAATGGGTTCAGCCACATGTATCTTTTTTTCTCCATTGTGACCTAACCGGATCATCAAATGGTCGACGTTTAATGTGACCAAACCATCTAAGACAACTCTCCATAATCTTGGCAGCCACAAGAGCTCCACCAACCCTATCACGAATGGACTCATTTCGCATTTTGTCTCTAACTGTCAAGCCACTCATCCACCTAAGCATTCTCATTTCAGCAACACTTTAAATTTGTTTTATACTTCTCTTTTAAAGGCCAACATTCTGCATCATAAATTATTACATGTCTTACCATCATCTTATAAAATTTTTGTTTTAAGTCTAAGCAATATTTTTCTAACACAAAATAAGTTTGATGCATTCCTATACTTCAATCAACCAACTTGAATTCTACTAATAACATCCCCATTAACATTACCATCGTTGTGAACAATAAACCCGAAATATCTAAAACGTTCACACCATTTAATGATTTGATCACCCATAATTACACTTTGCCGCTAGAGCTGCTGCAACTAAAATTACATTCCACTAAATGTCCAGTAAGAGTATCCAACAAAGGCCTTTAGACTCCAATGTAGACCTTCATAATTCATTTTTTTCCTGAACTCTTTCTCTATTCTTATCTGCAAGAAAGATATTATCAGCGAAAAGCATACACCAAGGTACATCCCCAAGGTACATCATACACCAAGGTACATCCTCCTATAAATGTCCAGTAAGAGTATCCATAACTAAAGCAAAATGATATGGGCTTAAAGCTGATCTCTAATCTAAATCAACAAAAATAGGAAAAATACTTGTTCAATCCGCCTCTTTAAACATAAGTAATAGCCCTAGTATACATATCTCTAATGACTAGAATATATGTCATATCAAAACCTTTCTTCTCCAGAACTTCTAGAACCCTCCAAAGAACTTCTCTTATAACCTTATTGTAAGCATTTTCTAAATCAATAAAAATCATTTGTAGATCCTCCTTGCTTTCTCTGTACTCTCCATCAAACAACAACAACAACAACAACAACAACAAAGCCTTAATCCCACTACGTGGGGTCAGCTACATGAATCCTTTTTCTCCATTGCGTCCTATTTAGTGTCATATTTTCATTTAGTTCTAGTAAATTAAGATCATTTTTAATACAATAAGCCCAAGTCTTCCTAGGTCTACCTCTGCCTTTCTTAACACTAGTCGAATTTAAAACATCTACTCTCCTAATCAGACCATCTAATGGTCGACGTTTAATATGAACAAACCATCTAAAACGGCTTTCTCTAATTTTGTCTGTCACAGGAGCTACACCAACCCTATCACG